AATGATTCATTCTCTGAAATTTTGGTCATACTAATGCCTTTGAGATTTGTAGCTATGAAAAGTCATAGGTGCAACCTTGTGCCATGTATACTTTTTTTTAATATCGATGTGTGACTTAGGACATACCTCAGTCATGGAGAGCTTGCTTAGCACTCACAAAGCCCTGGTTCTATCCCTAGCATTACAAAAAATTTATAAAATCCAGTTTCAGCTGGGAAGGTGGCTCAGTGATAGAGTGCTTGCCTTGCATACATGAGGCCCTGGGTTTGATTCCTCAGCAGCACATAAGCAGAAAAAACTGGAAGTGGCGCTGTGGCTCAAGTGGTAGAGCTGAAGGACAGCACCCAGGCCCAGAGTTCAGGCCCCGCCACTGACAAAAAAAAAAAAAAAAAACAGTTTCAGAATTTGGGCATCACTTTAATCTTTAATTCATTTGTGTGTATTCCCATAGCTGAATACTAAATGAAACCACATAGAAATTCTTGAGTATATAAATGAATTCCTAAAAGAAATTGTAACTAAATCATTTTCTTTTGGTTTTTGGTTGTAAATAAAAGCAGTTCTTGTAGTCAATTGACATTTAGTTAAATGTTTATACTACACATAGTACTGTGCATTATATGATGCATTCTGTTAAATAGTTTTGGTACCTGTGAGAGGTAACTAAATTCTATATTATTCTTGATTGCTTAATAATTTTACAAATCGTACTCCAGCTAGAATAATTGATTAAGAGAAAAAAATTGACATTAAGACAGTGTGATATCTGGGTGCCCATTACACATGCCTGTGATCCTAAAAGCTCAGGAAATTGAGATCTGACAATCAGTTTGAAGCCAGCCTGAGCAAGCTTGAGACTCTTACCTCCAATTAGCCAACAAAAAAACTGGAAGTGGAGCGTCAGCTTAAGTGGTAGAGCGCTAACTTTGAGGGAAAAAAAAATGCTAAAGGATAGCTCCTAGACCTTAAGTTTAAGTCCTAGGACCAGCACCAAAATAAAAAAATAAAATTGCAGTTTATTTTTAAAACCACAAGTCTTTAAGTAAACACATTTATAATCAGATTGTCATAATGTTAAGGTGAAAAACTCAGTTTTTATGATGCTTTTTAAAAAAATTTATTGTAAAGGTGATATACAGAGGGGTTACAGTTTCATGAGTCAGATAATGAGTAATTTCTTTTTGGACAGTGTCACCTCTTCCTTTGTTTTCTCCCAACCCCACTCCCTCACAAGTTGTATAGTTCATTTTCAACATAGTGTATATTGAGTATGATGTTTTTATTGGTAATATATTTATAAATGCATGAGGTATTATTTTAATATATAAAGAAATATCCGAGTCATGCTGTCACGTTTTAGTAACTGTATACGTGACTTCATTTTTTAGGCATTTTTTATACTAAGTATCTTGAGTTTTTCAGATGATGAAACTGATAAAAATTTGAGAGGAAGGAAAATGATGGAAGAAGTGAAACTACTCAAGATGCACTGTACTCATAAATTGACATGTTGCATTGAAACTCCTTTTACAGTTATTTAAAGACAATAAAAATAAATTCTAAAAACTAAACAAATTAAAAAGTGTCACTTGGCTCTCAGGTGTAAAAGTGTGGTTGTAATTACAAATTAAAGATCATTCTGAAAGAGAAGTAGTTAACCAGGTATGGTTAAACAAGATTAAATGATTTATGGCCATTTTATAATATAATGACAGTCTTCATTTTTAAGCTACAATGTAAAGTGCTTTATTCTGAGATTAAGTATTGTGGCAGAAGCTAAAACTGCCTTTTTTATAACTGCCAGAATACAACCTCTTTTTCTTTTTTCACTAACAAGACTGCTTTACCACCACAGCCCACTCTAAGTAATTAAATCAATCCTTTGTACTTACCGTATTCTCTTCTAGTGACGGTACTAGATCTGATTATATGCTTCATGCATATTCAAAGTGCTGCACTGACAGCTCTTTAATGAGCTCTTACTTAATCAGTATGAACAATGTTCATCTTGTTCTTTTTTTCCTCCTGCATTAGAGCTACGAACAGTTGGGAAAAATGAAACATCCAGCATTCATTTGAAAAATATATTGTACTTTGAAAAGTGTCTAAGCTGAGGAAGTTGCATTCTGCCCTTTAAAAGTCTGATGGACAAATTGGATTACTAGTATTGGATTAAATAACAAATGGTTAGAGGAGAAATGAGAAAAGCTCACTGTGATCACAGGCTTTAATATTTTTTGTTACTTATAAAGCTAAAGGGGTCTTTAACCAGTTATTAAAGTCAGGATTAATTTGTAATGGTTCAGCTTACTGGCTTTTAAAAGCCTTTTAAATTTAAAAAATTTTTAAATCTCTAAAAACAATAGTGTAATGATGCCCAAGAAGAAACTTTAATTTTTTTATTACTATAGACTAAGTATACATTTCCATCATTATATATTATTATCTCTGATAGGCTTTTGTGATACAGGATTGATTTGTGGTTTAATTTAAATAACCTATATAACAATGTATGTGTCCTTAAATATTTATTGTTAGGTTTACTTCCCTTTGAAACATGATACTCTTTTATTATTAGCCATTTCCTAACAATAAGGGGAAAGGGGTATCTTTGTTTCTTACCTAGAAATCATAGGCATGAGTTAAACTGAAAATAACACAGTACCACATCAATATTATTATACTCAAGGAAACAGTGTTCCATTGAAGAAAGTAATGCTAATTTAAGAGTAGGCTGGTTGCTCCTACTATTGCTTGAAAGCCTCAATTATAGGTTAAGTTAAAATCAAAACAAAGTTTTAATATGTCTATATTTTAGAACCTATTTAGACTATGAATACAAGAATCAGATCTTTAATCAGAAAATAAAATATCATAAAATCTACACCTATTAATATTGCCCACATGTGTCATTTCACTGATCAAAAATATCATAAAATCTACACCTATTAATATTGCCCACATGTGTCATTTCACTGATCAAAAAGCTTTCACGGGGTACAATTGGCCTTTTTCCAAATTGCAAGCTTTTTCTCAGCTTTTTCTTTTTACTCTTTCTTCTTTTGTTACTACCCAGGGATTTGTGCCTATCGCAGCCTGTATCACATGACCAGTGTCAAGACATCACATGGTCCAAAGTGAATACAAAACCAGCTACCCTAAAGGAGAGATTAAGAATACTGTAAAACAATAAAGACTTTTGTTCAGGCTCTAAAAGAATCTATCTTAAGTCGGCTTCATACCACTCAGTTTTGACAGAATTTAATGAAGGCACATATCTTCACTATTCTCCCTAATGATAAACAACAGATGATTGTTTTATAGGGATGTTTAGAAATTCATGGTTTTTCTTCTGTACACAGACCAGCTTTTTGTATCCTATTCTATTTTTTAAATTTCTTCCTATTTCTATTAATGCAGAAATAGTTTTACTATGGCATGCCCACGGTTGATGCAAGCATTGAAAAGAATGAAGTTGATATTTGGACAGAATGAGAAAATAAATCATAGGCCAATGTAAATCAGCTCAGTGGTGTTAAAGAAACTTGTAATTGTGTATAGATATGATATATACATGTGTTTGATAGACATATCTATGTGATTGGAAGGAGATATGCTAAAGTGTAATAGTACTTAATCCTAGAAATGGGATCTGGGGTAGGGAAGTAAAGACGGTAGGGTTAGTGAAATAAGACTTGATTTTTTTTTTTTTACTGTTATACCTCTGTATTATTCTTTTATTCTGTATTATTATCTAAAGTATTAAAAAGAAAATAAAACAGGATAATAATGCTGTATATAGCTGGGATATTTAATACATTAATTTTTTAAATTTTTTTATTGTAAAGATACTGTACAGAGGTGTTACAGTTACATGAGTAAGGTATTGAGTACATTTCCTCTCAAGCATTTCCTCTTGTTATCCCCTCCTTTGTTTTTCCCCAGTAAATTCTTAATCTTATGAATGTTATTCAGAACTTGAACTGGTAATATTAAATTTTGGCCTAGCAAAGCAATACAGTCATGAATGAAATCCAGGGGGAAAATTTAAACAGTTATTTTGACTAGTATAATTTAGAAAAGTACAATTTTAAAAAGTAAATTGTGGTCTACTTTTGCATGAAGAATTCCAAGTATATATTATATTGTATTTTAATGGTAAATGTACTAGCCTTTAATGGGGAAGGGCGGACTGATTTAGTGATGGAATGGGTATGACTATTAGTGAACTTCAAATACCTCCAGTATGTAATCAGTAACTGCATAATCGAAAATACTAGATTATTTCTTTAATCAAATGTTTTCTGAATACTATATTCATTATAATGTATTTTATTTCACAAAGAGGCATTTTAGTAGCATGGCCATTTACATTCATTTAATAATGTGGAAATGGTTACCTTATTGGTTGATGAGTTCCAGAATGGTGTGTGTGTGTGTACATATTTTCATATATATATATATATATATATGCCTTTTATTTATATATATGAATATATAAATCTTATTATACTTTGCAGTAGGAAAATTTTTTAAAAGTAAATTGTTATGAGTGGAAGCTTTCATCCAGTCTTCTAATCTCTTCCTAGTTTTATGGTTCTTGTAATGATTTTTTTTAATGTTTTTGGGATTTTTTTAAATCATGATTGTATGTCTGTCAGCACTGTGAATTCTTCATTGAAACATAATAGCAAGTCAGCCTCTGGGGAGGATTTATAAGGTGGAACACTTTGTTTACAGTACTTAGTGTTAATATGATCTATTGGAATGTTCAAGGAACTAAGATATATATGCTGAATAGTACCAGCTTTAAAAGATTGAGTTATAAGTTTTTAAATACTGAATTCTTCCAGACCTTGAACTTCAGTCTTACAGTATAAGTAGTGAACTATGTAGTACTGAAGTAGCTAAAATATTTTTCATCTTAAAAGAATTGTGCTAAGTGATTATTTGGCTTGTAAAATATCATGTAATAAGAAGTTACTCTTCCTGAACTATAGGAAGGAATACGGAAGAAGAAGAAGCTATGATGCAAGAATGGTTTATGTTAGTTAATAAAAAAAATGCCCTAATAAGAAGAATGAACCAGCTGTCTCTTCTGTAAGTACTCACAACTATATTTCTACTGATAAATCTTAGGTTTGTGTTGTTATTGCTTGCTTTGGGGTTTCATATTTATTAAAGTTAATTGTGTGTTTCCTTAGAAATTATAGTATTTTGTATTTTTAAAAAATAGTAAATAATTTTTATCCATTCAGATAAGGAGAAGAATAGACACTGGAAAAAAAAAGTGTTTATGATGCAGAAAGTAAAGGAATAGGAACTGTCTTTGTGTAAGAAAACAATCTTTATAAGGACAAAAATGCATTTATCATATGTCAGCAATATTAATCTAAGAAAGATAAGAAATTAATTGAAGTGATCTTTTGATGATTGTAAAAATTAAAGTGGAAACTAGGCCATATGTAAACATTCTTAGTCTTTAACTTCACTTCAGCAAAAGATTTAATGCTTGTTCCTTTCTGCTTACCAGCAATGTTCTTATAGTATGCCACCTAGTGTGGGAAATGGCAAGCTTACTATGTTTTATTTTGGTTAAAGGGGGAAAAAAAAAAAAAACCTCTTAATTTTATAACTTCTACCTAACAAAAATTTAGTGAAACACGAAACTTGTCCAGAACTTTTTATTTTTCTCTATATTAAATTTGCACTGGCATTTTGTATTTCTTATATACTTTTTCACATGGGGTTTTGAATTTTTAAAAAGTATTTATTGTAAACTATGAAAAGTGTTTTCAAAAATGACCTTACACCTGGCACTTAATATACCCACCACTGAAGAATAAAACTATTAATGCTCAGATTAAAATATACTTTCGTGCCATTCAAAATTGAGGGAAGAAAAAAAGCACACTTGTAAATATTCAGCTGAGAAAGGATTTGAGTTTGTATATCATTTGTTTGGAGTGGCTTAAAGTTAAAGAGAAAAGTCAGTTCCGAGTCCTAAAATCAATGTAACCTAAAGGTTCTTTTAAGTGTTTAATGATTTAGTAATTAGCATATTGATGAACTTTTGCAACTTGCCTAGGGAAAAAGAACATGATTTAGAACGAAGGTACGAGCTGTTGAACCGGGAATTGCGGGCAATGCTAGCCATTGAAGGTAAGAAATGCAGTGATGAGGAGAGGTATGTATCTGTTCTCAATGTGATATTTAGAGTGTAACACACATCTGGTTTTTACCAACTCTGGTCTATGAGGTATCTACAGGAATTACAAATAATTGCCTTGGAGGCAGAAAGCAGTATCATCAATCTAAGGATCCTAATTCAGATAGATAATTATCATTATGTTTGCTACTATGCAGAATTACCTTAACTTTTGATTGAACAAGACTAAATTTACATAAAATAAACGTATAAAGAGTTAACTGATTTGGTTTCATTTGCAATTTAAAATTATTTCCTCTTGGGAAGGTTTAAGAAAATGTTCATTTTGATTTTTCATCTTTAGACTCTAAATTTTATCATATCATTGTTGTCAACTTTGGTATATGTCACTCTCCAGACTGTGTTGTAGCTATTAAGACTCACGAATTCCTTTTAAATGGTCGGTAGGCAAAGATGAACATGAGGGGGGGAAATGAAATATTTTGATACAATTTATAATTCATAGAAATGAATTGCATAGAAATGTTATGCATGGTTTAAAATATCAGTAAACATCAGTTAACGTAACTGTACCATTTACTACATATGATTAAAATTCACAGGTGTTACATAATACTCTTCTCTTTATATTTTTCACTGGAAAATATTTCTAGTTCAAAGAGTTCTGCCTAAAAGCTAATCCTTTGGGCTCTGTAAAATGGATCTTTTGTCTAATCAATGCAAATTGATTTTCCTATTCTATATTGACCTCTTAACCCATTGACTGTCCATGGTAATTTCATTCTTCACCTGATAAGATACCTGATCCATAATAAGTCGATTCTAATTAGTTCAGAAACTAGAAATCTTAGTTTGTAAAAGAAAGCCAAGTGAAGTATTATATTTTTAAAATATTTTAATATACTATTACTATCAAATATCATGTGTCTTATTTATCCTATACATACATATATATTTGTCCTATTTGTGTTAGTTTTATTTTTAGCTACTTTTATATCCATAATCTTATTTGATAAATACCACTGGTAACATTTGTATATCTATCTTTAGAAACTCGATTTATTTTATTTTAAAAGGCTCCAGTTAGCCAGTTTCCTTCAAATGGCTATCTGAATGTTTGTCAGAATTATTTAAGAAGTGTTGTAAAACTGCCATTGAAAGAAACTGTACAAATACATTAATGGGTTTTTTCCCTCTGGATGTAATGTTTGTGATCATAGTATAATGTTTAAGCAAGTGAAACACTAAAAAGGTTGAAAAGTATATACAGAAAACACTATGTATGTGCAAATATGGTGTATGCTATATAGTGTATATATTTAGCATTAAAAATAGCTTATCAAACAGTATATTCTTAATAGATTCATTGTACATTACACTGGAAATTAAGTATTCTTTAAAAAAATTACTCCTCTTCTCCTGTTTGTAGAAAAATAAATTGTCCTTAAAATACAACTTGATACAGTATAGCTGCTTTTTAAGGTAGATATTACATGTTGTTCTATCCCCCACACCAGTATTATTATTACCAAATACATCATAAAAGGAAGGCCTCACTCATCTAAAAGATAACAGTTTTATTGGCCATCCTATCCCTGCATACATACAAGTTTACAATCTTAAATAAGCTTCCATGTTAAATAATGTACCATTTTGAAATCATGCATGGCATTTGTATACATAGAGTAATAGTCATATTTTAAAAATACTTTTAATGCAGTTATTAATCATTTTGTTAATATTTTCTCTCCATAGTCCATCCTTCCCCCACTCCCCCTTCTCCTTCCTCTTCCACTTCCTTTTTCTCCATGTCCCTCTTCCTCTCCCTCCTTCTCCTTCATTGTAAATTACATTGTCCTGTGTGTGACAGTGCCTCCAATCTTACTGCTGGTTTTCATTTAGGGAAAGGGGAGACTTGAAGAAACAGAACAGCCTGTTGATTACAAAGAAAGACACTATCTTCCAAAGAGGCTTGTCCCACTGGCTTGGGCAGGACATAGGCAAAGCTAGCCAAGGGAGATGCTGAGCATTGTGAAGTTCAGCTCTTGGAATGGACACACAGGCTTAAAATACCACACACACACACACACACATACACACACACACACACACATACACACACACACACACACACACACACACACACACACGCGCGCGCGCGCGAATAGGCAACACAAGTTGATTTGGTTTGGCTTTTCTTTGTTTTAAAGTTCATTCTTCTTTTCCAATCTCTTCTGCTTGGTAATTTTAAGATTCAGTAATAAACTAAAATCTTTTAGAGTAAATCTGCTGTTAAAACTATTGATCAGGAGAAAAGCATAGAGTATTAATAGCCATAGCACACTGAAAGAAATATTAACTGCTTGGACTGAGAGCAAAACATACTAAATATTCAATACATCCATTCTTCTGAGAATCCGTAGTCACTTTGACCTGGTTTTCCACCTTTTTTCCTGAAGTGTATTCACAGCAGGAGTTTCACTCTACTGAGCTAAGTTGTAGGATCCCTCAAGCTAACAAACATCTTTTAGATACTTTTCCTATAGTTTTTTGTTGTTGTTGTTGTTCCAGATTACTTAATGCTCCCTCAGGAAAGATAAATTCATTTCTGCACACATTGGGGTGGGCTTTTAGAAAGTGGTATGTTCATTTTCTGCACAAGAAATGGATCTTCTCTGGGATTTTGTACATCTTGATTTATTCTTGGCTTAGAGTTTGAAGTGGGTGCTCTTCTAAAGGGATTTATGCATAGGTTCACTATTTTTGTAGTTATGGTTTATATGATAAGCTTTTTATATTTAAAATCAATATGTAATCCTGTGGAGGAGCTTATCCCCTAAAACCCCATTTGTAAATCTATTTTAGCTTTGTTACACAGCACAGCCACAGTCTTCCATAGATTGATTAGGTACAGCAGTAGAATCCTATCAAATGGCCTGTTCTGATGATGATGCAAACTCTTTCAGGATTGCTAGTTGACTGGAACTAAAGATAAGACTTGACTGCAATCCCCCAATGTGCTCTTTACAAAACTAGTGTTAATTTTCATCAAAGTGCTAGGCTTACTTATGGTGGCAAGGTTGAAGGTTTACTACAAGAACTTCAGGTCTTTTCTATTACAGTGTTTATGGTATTTCTCTTGCCTTTTTTTCCCCCAAGGTAATTACCAACTTCAGCAAATAAACTGACTCATGGAATGAATAATTTTCCCTACATATAAAAAAACTATTTTGAATTAACCCAAACATCTCAGTACAGATGGACATAAACAAAATCTCTTTATTTCAACACTTTGGGTCAAATGCAGCATCAAAACTTAATCCTATTTGTTGTGAGAGGATATGGCTTTTGTAGTGAAAGTACACTGGAATCTAAGTTAATCACAACCCACACTAGTCTGTCCAAGCCAGTGAGAGCATCTAGCTAGCTGTGACTGGTGTTATAAGTAAGTGACTAATCCTTTCTTAAAACACATAACAAGTAACATGTAAACTTACACGCAGACTTTTAAAACATGGCATGTATATAGGTAAAGGCATTTTAAAAGCACTTTTTTTCAAAGGGGATTTTAAAATTTTTTACTTAAACACAGATGTAAATCTTGATCAATTGTCAATATGATTTTTAATCATCAAAGTAGTAATCTACTTAATTTCTCAAATTAGTGTTCAGTTATACATAATAGGAATAGATGAGTGGATGAGGGTATTTGTGCATATACATATATTTGCCTATGAGAAACCAAATATAAAAGTATAGTTTGCTACTATAAAATCTATTCACACCGATATGTGCTCTGCAACAGACTATATAGTTATAGTAATGTAGTAATGAGATACTTAATAGGAAAAATCCAATAAATTTATGCTAGAATATTGTAATTTGTTAGCAGTTCAATTAGACCTAAATATCTTTAGTCTTTAGTTTTAAAATGTTCTTTTTCTAGTTATGAGAATGACCTTATCAAGATAGGAAAAAGTTGAGATTTTTATTTAAAAATTATTTTTAATACCTCAGCTTAAAAATGTTTCCTCACTTATATAGTTAAAATCCTAATTTTTCCAATGCTAAGAAAAACCTGGTATTTTTAAGTTACTAATTAAGGCCTTAAAAGTGACTGGTCAGATTTAGAGGACTAGTTCAATTTAAAAAATTATGTTTCCCATGTTCATTTTTTTTGTGGCTTAAATATTTCTATTTGTATTTTTGGAGTGTGGTAAAGAAAAATTATTTTCTACTCATAAAGTTATCAAATGTTTTGGAAGCCAAAAAGTATACATTTAAGCTTATAATCAGAATGATTCCGCCAAGTTGAATATTGAGCAGTATTAACCAAAGCTGGTAATTTAAATAATTATAAATTTTACTTGCTATTTTTTATTAACTCAGCAGAGCTTTTTTCCTGAATTAGTATTTCTAGAACAATTACCTGAAATTAGACTAAATGTGCTTAAAGATTTTCCCAACCTGGAGAATCTATTAATTTACTTTCTCTGTAGAATATGGCTGATTTAAGAACAAGAACCAAATTATTAAATTTCCAGCATTCCTGTTCTTAGTTGCATTTAAAACCAAAGTAAAATTATGATAGATTTGGCTTCTTTGTTTCTTTTTTGCCTATTATTAAAATTCTTTTACCAGAAAATACTTTTTATAGTTTATTTCTCTCCATGCTATAAAGAATTTTATTTCTAATACAATATAACAATCAGTGATTTAACATTTATTTTGTGATGTTTTGTATTAAATGTAGATAATTAACATATGGCAGTTTCATATATATGTATTTATGTGTTTGAGTTTATAATAAAGGAACAGTGATAAAATTGAATAAGCTATTTTAGCTTCTTAGAGTTATTCTAATCTTTACTGCATGTTGATGCATCTAATTTTTAATTTGTAAATACAAGATAGAATTCCCTCTAGCACCATTTGCTTTCATAAAGCTGCTGAGCAGTTTGCTGTCTTGAATAAATTTTGCTTTGGAGAGAGTAGGGAGGCGATTTGAACCAGCACATTCTTGTGTGGTTTGTGAAGATTCACATGGTAACCAGCGGTGTGCATTGTTAGGTTTATCTGAATAAGCACCAGCCATGTGAGTTTTAACATGATTGCCCTGGGCAATGGAGAGAGAAGAGAAACCCGAAAGGATTGCACTCCTCTGTTTTTTTGGAAACTGCATTTGCTCTGTGGGGGAGGGGACTGTAAGAGTCAGTGCCCAGGGTGGTTTTTTTTTTTTTTTTTAAACTGGTGTCCTGTTTCCCTCTTGGTCCTCATTTGTTCTGCTATCTGCCTCATCATCTACTTCTTCTTTTCATTGTTTACCTTCCTAATGAGGGAGGCGGGGTAGACTGAGGGTTGATTGACAGCTACAAGCCCTTACAGTCTGGCCAGAGAGCTGTTGGCTTTGGTTTCAAAAGTGTTTTAAATGTTCGATTTGGTCCTGTTTTTATTAAAGGAAACTGCTGCTCATCTTAAGGAAATTATCAGAGTAGCAAAGACTAGGAAATATATTATTGGGACCGAAACCTTCATAAAATGACCCTCACCCATTCAAAGAGCACTGCCCATTGGATTTTCCAACCTTTAACATGGAGTTTCAAAGAAATATGTAATTTTTTTTTCTTTTGCACAAGTGCTTTCATTTGAAAGCACCCAGCAAACGTCTCCAAATAAAAACTGGCTGTGATGCGATTGAGAGCTGCAGTGTAATATTGCAGAGCAAATTTATTTTTTACTTCAAAGAAAAATGCTAATTAGCCGATTCACTACTTTTAAAGTTATTGTGAAGCATATGGCGCCCAGTGTGAGATACATCCAACTGCTAAAATAGAGCGAAGAGGAAATTAGTGAAGAATGGGCTGTTTGGGGTGAGAGTGGGGGTGGGGGAGGAGAAGAGGTTCTTAGGCAGATTCTCGGGCCTTTTCAGAATGATTTTTATCTCCCATCACTGTTTCCCGCCTCCTCGTTTACCCACTCCCCCACCCCAACCAACCCCAGGGCCAACCTCTTCTGGCCTCCATTTCCCCTCCCCCACTTGGCCGGGATTCAGGTGCGCACCTCCGACTGGCCCTCAGCTCACACCTGGTCTCTAGTCGGTTCCCACCTTGCCTCTCCACACTCCATCTGTGGGAAATATTTCCAAAGTATGGTTTTAGGGGAAAACCTCACTGCCAAACCAACTGCCAAACTCCCCAGAAATACTAGCTAGTGGAGCTATTAGCTGGGTTTAATGGGAGATGTAAGGGAACTGGAAAAGGCGGGAAGGGGAGGGCAGGGCCGGGAGCTGGTATGCACTCAGGCCTTGAAGCCCATTAACTAGCCTCCCATCTCCTATAGACTGGCAGAAGACTGAGGCCCAGAAGCGACGAGAGCAGCTCCTGCTGGATGAGCTGGTGACTTTGGTGAACAAGCGAGATGCACTTGTGAGAGATCTGGATGCACAGGAGAAGCAGTGAGTAGACCTTGGGCCTTGAATTCAGTCATAGCCACCTGCCAAAGGGGCCCCCTAGAGAAGTTTACCGAAGTTCGGTTTAGAGGTCTCCGGAGGCCCAGTGCCCCGAATTCCTCCTCCTGGATATGGAATGCAGGGCAGGGGGAATGCTGCTCTGCTCTCCATGAAGAAAATAATTTTGTTCTCGTTTGTCTGGCATCCAGGGCAGAAGAAGAAGATGAGCATTTGGAGCGAACTCTGGAACAAAACAAAGGCAAGATGGCCAAGAAAGAAGAGAAATGTGTTCTTCAGTAGCCATCAGACCAGTGTCTCTCCCAACATTTTAGTCTTGGGCCCCCAGACCAGCAACAGACTGGTTGTTTCAAAAGTTAACATTACATTTGGCTGGATTATACTTCTGTACCATCATCACCACTTTAACTCCTTTCCAGATAATATACAGAACTCCAAACATAGCTCTGTTTAAGGATTTTTTTTTCTGTGAGTGAATACTTTCTTTTGAAATCATGTGAGATAGATTTGCACAGACACTTTGTGAGTAATTGATATTGGAGGTGTTCAAGAAACTGTTCAAAAAGAAAACACTTCCCGCATTATTTCCCCTCATTGTTTGATGGGAGGAAAATTTGAGACATTTCTGTTGTTGTTGTTGTTGTTGTTGTTGTTGGTAATAGCATAATGACAGTATAGGGGGGAGGGAGGCAAGGCAGGATAAGAAAAATGCCATGATTTTTTTTCCACTCCTGCCATCTGTAACATTTACTCTGTTACCTAAATTTCATAGTTAGATCATATTCAATCTACTTATTAAACTCTGTTTATTTACCAGTGAGGTTTTCTGCAACTGTTTTGCATTTCACAGAATTCCTCTGCTTTCCTCCAAAGATGGCCCTTTAAAAGGTAGCCTAAGACAAACCCTGCGATTTGCAGGTGATGAGAGGAATTGACATACAGCAGTTTACAAAGACAGTTTTATCATGGGAGAATCTGCCATCTTTTTCTCTGGATAATATTTATTACATCTTGGTTCATTCTTACATTTTGTTGTATCTCAACATTGGCTCAAGAATGCTGTTAATATTTATTCTGTATTGATAAAAGTCTGTCTTGCCACTACAAGTAAATCTTTCCAGTTAATATTTTCTTTTCTAGCATAGCACTGTCTTTTTTGTGAAAATGGTTATGTTTATTTATTACAATACTGAGTCATATATAAATTTTCAATAAAAGCAGAAACTTTCTTACCTGATACTGCTTGGACTAGACTGGAAGTTTGTGTATCCATAAATCTTTGCATGTGGGAAATGGTCCTCTGGAACATGGGGCAGGATACTGGATGGTATTCAGAGCTGGGTAAGTTTATACATCCCAGAGGAGCCCTGCTGACACATGGATGCAAATTGAAAAGTAATTAGTCATATTCTTAAGGAGTATAAACTATCTTCTCTTTTGGAAGGGTCATCTCAAAGACTTGAAGAAAAATTCTGATTCCACGCCACTGAAAGAAAACAATACGAGTATGATGAATTTTCCACATGACTTTGAATAGTTCCATTTTTGTAGTTGTATGAGGAAGAACTGTTTCCTCTGTTAACCAGCAAGTCTGTGGATACTGAAGTGAAAGGAAGAGGGGAATTGCTAGGGAAGGTGGACTTCAGGGAGGCGTGTGCCCATGTACCCCTGGGTGTAGGAGAGAAATGAAAGAGAACTTTTAGAATTTCTAGGCTGGGTGGGGGGGGAAGAAAACTGGCTTTCCTATAGCACTTTACATCATTCTCTAACTGGGTGTCCGAACAAAGAAAACTCCTTCAACAAGTCCAGAAACTTAAGACAAAAAAAAAAAAAGCATTTAGCTTTAGCCTAAGAAAATCTCTCTCCCTTCTCCCCTCCCTGCCTCGGACGTCTTCCCCTCGCAGACCTACATCGTGTCCGAAAAGTCTGCTGCCACTCCCCAATTGTCAATCCTTTTCAAAATTTAAAAAACCCACTTGCCCTGGTAAGAGTTCCTTTATGACACGAATTTTAAGTTACTGAAAAGTTCCCGGAACTAAAGGAAACAGGGTGTTTTCCCTCTGTGTTCGAGCCCGGGCAGAGCGAGGTGTGGCTCCCTGGGGAGGACTGAGACCCCTCACCCCCGGTTCACCTTCGGGCCGACGGGGCCCGGCGGCAGCCCGCAGCACCCGCCCTGTGCACGCTGCTTTTGAGAAACCCCTTCGGATGGGTCTCGAGAAAAAGCTGCTTTTTCCTAGCCCCACGCAGCCCCAGATCCACCAAAGGATAACCCCCTCTGGCCTCGGGTCTGCTAGGGTGTCTGGGGGCCGCGGCGGGCCCTCGCCTGGCCCTCCCGGCGCTGGCGGCGGGCT